GACTATATCAAACGGGAGGTTGTCTTCTACGAGGAGAGTCAGGGAATGGAGAACTCTTTCTACCTTCCCATCTTTCTCTAGGTGAAAATAAGTCTGGACTCCCTCGATGTAATCCTCAACTCGCATTGTGCGATTGTCTGCGAGGATGTTGACTATAGGTTTCTCTAACTTTCGGACCTTCAGATTCAACTTCAGGTTTTGTAGCGCTTTACGGCTAATATAGCTACGGGTAGCCCTACTGTCTATAAGGGCCCCCACTCTGCCTCTAAAAATTTCTACATCTACCAATACTAGCTGTTCTTTTCCATCCTTGTTCATCTTGGCCCAGGTAGGCATTCTCTCCTTCAATTCTTTTGCCACGCCTGTGAGGGAGGTGCCTAGAGAGACCCTAAGACAAACAGTCTTTAGACAGTTGTCTAGGCACTGGCCAGCAACCTTTGCCATTAACACATGTGGGTTGGGAGTTTCTCTATGGTGCACGCACTCTTCTCCACATGGTCTAGTGGTAAGGGCAGTTGCGACCCCTATCGACGGTTCCCTTTTGCTGCCTGTGCAGCAAATCAGGCCTCTCTATACTTTGGGCAGTATTTGATAATATGACTTGGATCACTGCAGTAAATGCATTGATCCTGGTCTATCATTTTCTGCCAGACTTTCTGAGTGAGACCCAAGTCCTCCCAAGGCCTGCCTTGTGGCAAGCCAGGGTGCCATCCACCCCTCGTATAAGGTGACCGATTAGAACGCGGACCATTTTGGGGGGGGACCTTGACCCCTGCCTCCCTCTTGGCGGTTTGATCGTCCTGTCCTCGGCCACTGGAGGCCCGACCCCCTTGGCCTCGGTGTCGGGCGGCTCAAGCCTATCACCGCCCTTTACTTCCTCTGAAAGGACGGGAACTAAGGACTAAAATTCAGTTTCTGAGTGTGTTCGGTTGGATTGAAGCTCGTGATTGGAGGCGGGAGAATGAAAATGATTATTCAAGGATGGAATCACAGAATGTCCGGCTTCGGCATGACGAAGGTGAGACACGTAACTAAAAGGGGATGCTCAATGGCTAAGTGAAACGTTGTCAGAGAATTGAAGGGAAACAGAAAAAGAAGTAATTGGGACTCGCTCACGTTCGATTGGGAAAAAGGGCTAGGCTTGCCCGTAGGTGCCCAGTCGCGGGCCGAAGTGGACCGAGGAAAAGAGTTACGCCAGAGACTTGTCCAAAAAGGCGGGAAGACCGCTATGAAAAGGGAGAATAAGGAATATCGGGGTTCAAACGGCAGTTGCGGTGGGATGACTTACGAGGCTTCCAATTTGGTTGAGTGTCGGGTCGTTAGCGGGATGGACACGTTTGCGGGAACAAGTGTAAAATGAAGGGCGTCGGGGCTGATTCAAAAATCAGAGGAAAATACTCGAGGCTCGAGATAGCTTCGGTACCAGGCCGCTGCAGGTTTCCGACAGCGTGGCCTGTTTCCTCTCACTCATGCCTGATTCTTGGGACGAAGTAGGCTCGGGAATTGGTTCGGGACGAGGCCCGGTACCGGAACGCTGCAATCTTCTCGACAACACGCCCTCTGCGGTAACACGCCCTCTGCGGTGGCTACTGCCGGTGGGCCCAGCGAAGTATTCAAGCTGGACTGGGGCCGTTCTTACGGGGGTTTCGCACTTGCGCAAGAGACAGGCGCACGGTGGGAACTGGCGCATTGGCTGGCCCGCAGAGGGCTAGCTCACGAAAGCTTGGGTGCATGTGAACGAACGGGGAGTTTCAATACCCAATCAGCGCATGAAAGGGGACATTCCCGCCGGGGAGTACCGGGGAGAGACCAGCACGCGGTGTATGCTGGTTCCTCTCACGTGCACTTTGCCTGGGAGGGCAGGCACATGCGAAGGGAGCACATGCGAACGGGGCTTTCATCTCCGAAGGAACACTAGCCAGGAGACAGTTCTGGTCTCACCTACGCGCCGGGGAGCGAATCGGGCAGGCGATCTAGTCTCTCAACACAACGATGTGAACTGGGCTACGATGTGTGCGAATATGGAAGGCACGAGAAACAAGGGGAAAAGCCCTGGTCGCAGGCGTACGGGGTAGTGAACAGGTAGCCACGAAGGGAGTGCTCTCCCAGCCACGAGGAGGGTGCGCACCTAGAGGAGGAGGAGGATTTCAATCAGGTACGGGAGCCCGAGCTTCAGAAGGCATGAGACAACAAACTAGGCAGTCGAAGTGGGTGTTGCGGCGTACACAAACTTCGAAGAGACACACCAAGCACTTCTCCGTGGGAGATAGGCAGCAAGGGGAGAGTGGAGAGCAGCGGGTGCGAAACGCCAGGGGAACAGCCAGAAAGACATACAATCAGACAGAGGGAGGGAGAGTGAGTCATACATTTGCAAAGATTGCACGTACCTGGCCTTATAAAGGTCCACGTGCATCTGGATTGGAGTCAATAAGACGGCCCGCTGGATAGAACGTGAAACAATTGCGGGCGAGCTCACAAGAGAAACAAAATGCGACTAAGCGCTCGGCCGGTGCATGTATGAAGGGAGGATCGCGCGATGGAAGTGCGCAAGAACAGGCGGAAGGTCGCACGAGCGCGCACCTTGAGAGAGAGAGAGAGAGAGAGAGAGAGAGAGAGAGAGAGAGAGAGAGAGAGAGAGGGGGGGGGGGGGGGAGGAATGCAGGAGCTTGGCCGTAATTGGGCGCAAGAAAGCGCGTATTTGAACAAGGGAGAATGCCCATATTCGCACCAGCGGGAGGCGGATGAATCTCGCCCTCACAGCGGCCTGATACGTGCGCATCACATGAACGTGAGCCCGCTAGCGAGAAAAAGAGAGCACCAGCGCGAGTGGTTCGGAGCATCGCCATGCCGCAATCGATCATAATCGTGACATGAACGGTCGGATCGAGCGGATTGATCAGGGCGAGCGGAAGATCACCTGGGCGGGTGCGTAGGATCATCAACAAGCGCAACCCGATCACCCTCGCGATTGCGAGAAAGGGGGTCTTCAAAGCGAAGGGGTGAATGAACCTGGTCTCAGTTGAGCGCCAGATTCATCCAACGCAATGAGATAGCAAGAGGAGGGACAAGTGGGGAAGAGAGAGGGAGACGCTGATGCGGACAAGTGGATTCCGACTGTTTAATCAAAATAAAGCATTGCGATGATCTCAACGGTCCAACGGATGTCGGCGCGATGCGATTTCTGCCAGGAGCTCTAAATGTCGAAAGTGAAGAGATTTGGTCAAGCGCGGGCAAGCGAAGGGAGTAACTATGGCTCTCTTAGCCACGTCATCTGATCGATGGGCGCACATGCCCGCGCTAGAGGGAAAGCAAGAACGGGCGCGGGTGCATGCGCGCGCGCGCGCGCGAGAGAGAGAGTAGATAGAGAAAGCCGCATGCGGACGGAAGCAGTCGGGCAAGTGTCGATCAGAGCTGCGCGAGCTGTGCTAGCCACTAACGAGGCTGATCGGAGCTGCGCGAGCTTGCAAAGGAAATAACGAGCCAGCTGCTGCGCGCAGAAAAGCATCGCGAAGTTCCCAACGAATGATGCCGCGATGTGATTTCAGTCCATTGCTCAAAATGTGGAAGGGAACGGATTCAATCAATTGGGGGCAAACGACGGGAGTCGCACGACGGTCTTGACGAGTGTTGACGCAATGTGATTTCCGCCCAGTGCCCTAAGTGTCAACGTGGAGAGACTCGACCAAGCGCGGGTAAACGAGGGAGAGACTATGGCTCTCTAAAGCTGGCCAGATGCCACGTCATCTAATTAGTGACGCGCGCGAATGGATTAACGAGATTCCTACTGTCAATCAGGCGCAGGGAAACGGCGGGAGCAATGCCTGTTATCTGATTAGTGACGCGCATGATTAACGAGTTTCCAACTGCCCCTATCTACCATCCTGCGATCGCAATCAGGGGAACGAGCTTGGAAGAATCGGCGGGAAGGGAAGACCCTGTTGCGCTCGACTCTGATTCGACTCTATGTCCCTTCGGG